AAAAAAAAAGTTATCAGCCGTCATCTTTCAGAGAGAAACACGAGCTGCCCCTTAGACCGCTTTAACCAGCAGGGCCCGCAGAAGTAAATCTGGACAGAGGGAATTACGCATTTGACGCCAAACTGCAAACAAGGGCCGACGCTGTTCTGGAAACTCTTTTTATTCGATTTAAAAAAAAAATCTTAGAGCATAAAGTAGGCGTTTGAAAGGTTATTAGTCACACCGCTAATTAATATGTGTAATTTTGAAGGGGCCAGTGAGCGGCGAGGAGCGGAACTGTGCCTTCACAGAGCGCCGTTTATCAGCCGTTTATTACCTGCAGCGATAACGCGCTCACTTTAAGCTGCCTTCAAAGAGCTTTCAAATCAGCGGGCAGATAAACGCCTGTGACGCGCTCCCTGTCCGCTGGCCCTCCATCTCTGCCTTGATCCTCGCTGGTGTTCTCCTAATGCCAGTCTAAATTGTTGAGATTTTTCCGCAATTTTTACAGCCGAAGAGAGCAAAAAAACTAAAAAAAATCTTAAATATAAAAACTAAAAAATATTACTTTCTCCAGAGCGTTTAATTAAAGGTTCTCCTTCTGCCTCGAAGCTAAAAAAAATATCTCCCTAAACATCACATCAGGAATGATCCTGCGCTTTGTGGTTAGTATCAATGATTAACTGTCTTTTCCAGGTTTTTCCAAAATAACCAAAAGTAGGCAAGAAATAATTTTGACTTCTTTAGTTTCTAGTGTGTGTATCTGCATATTTAAGCTGAATGGATTTTCTCTGTCCTGTCCTTGAGTGCTTACATTGATGCCAAACTGTTTTCTTAAGAAGCGCAGGCTTACTCATTTCCATTTTGTCTGTCTTTGGTATTGTGCGTGTGTGTGACTGCTGTCAGAAAACTCATCTCATCCCTTTTTATGATCATTGCTTCAAAACTCAAACACGCAGTGTTTTCATCTCCCTCTTCACAAAAAGTCTGGAAATGCTTCAGCTTGGCGCATCACGGCAGCTCTAAGTCACTGATGTTTTCTTTGTGATTTATCACAGGGTTTAGAAGAAGGGGCGTCGTGCCGTGAGCGCTGACCTTTGAGTCTGAGCCGAGAAGTTCATCGAGTCTTTTGTGTTTTGTGTCCTGCGTAAGCCGGAGCTACTGTCCAACCATGAGGGGCAGCTCTCATGTCCTGCCTCTTGGTGTGATCGCGGCTCTGATGCTGTCTCAGGTCTGCTCTGGCATCAAATGGCTGTAAGTATTCTGTCGTTTTGCCATTTTTACACAACGCTTTGCTTTCAAGGAGCGTCAAAACAGATGACATCATGAAGATACACCACACTGCTCTTTGCTGCATGTTTCATAGAGGGGAGGGCTCATGGCGGCTTTGAAATGGGCCCCAGCATTCCTGCACTGTTTCTGCTGGTGGTGGTGGTGGCGGTGGGGAGCTCTGTCCATGTGTGGTGATGAGTGCTCCAGCGTATGAAACTATGCCAGCAACTATTTTGTGTTATTGATTGTAATGTGGCCTAAGTAAGAAAAAAGAAGAAAAGACTGCATGAATATTTCAGTTTTAATTTACCATCCACAGTATTCAAAGGCAGAGAGCAGGAAATAAAATCGGGCTGGCGAGGCCTCATGGTGGCGCAGACAGTGATGTCACTGCTTTCTGCGTGTTGTCCAGTTTTTTCCTCAAATCATAAAAACAGCTCGCTGCAGAAAGACGCAGTGCGAGCTGAAAGAAAGGACCATTGCAACTACTTTCTGGTACATGCAAACAATAACGTCCCAACGAACAAGTCCACAAACATCCAGGTTTTATTTATGTTCGTCAATCTTACGAACACTGGAAGGTTTTCTTCACCGTTTTCATGTCGCTTTGTGTGTTAACATTTTCCGTCTTTTTTTGGTGTTTGTCTTGTTTCTCTGACCTTCTGGGAAAAGTCTGCATTTAGCTGTAGCAAAAATATCTGTGACTTCCTATCAGAATGAAAAGTTGCAATGCTCATAGTGGGAGCGCTTGAGCAGATGTGCCAACGAGCGGTGGGATGGCACGCACCAAGTCCCAGTGAGAAGTCTTACAGTCTTCATAAGGACGGAGGTGCAATGCCAAACGGATGCGGCTGTAAACACCTGTGGGTGCCAAAAACTGATTTCCAATGTTTCTGCGTCATTTTTTTCTGTGTAACATCTTTACTTATGTTGGTAAATAGACTTGGTGAACAGGGTTTACAAAGGGGGGTTATATATAGAATTAAAACATTATCTGTGTTTCAAGTATCTTTATAACTCTGTGTTATTGTACTTACATTATAACCAATCCGGTCCTTTATCCCCACTTAAAATATTTTTACTGAACTATTGTAATATTTCCTCTTGGCCAACTTACTCTTACAAAAGACGTTTTTAATGGTAATGAGATTGTTTTTAACTGCATAAATAAAGGTTATATAAAAGTCGCTGCCAAAAACTGATAGCAGCTTCTACCTTGTTACACGAATGTTGTTTGTGGCTCAAGATAACTTTATATCATCCATGAGGGAAGCATTTGACATATGTTTCACATATTATAGCCCAACAAGTTACTTATAGCAGTTTAAATACGAGCAATCAGTTTTGGCAAATACCGGAAATCAGTTTTTGGCAGACGATCACTTTTTGGCACAACACCGGCACAACACCAGGTTACTGCGAGCCCAGTGGGGTCACAGCTTTTCATGGGGCACAGAGCGGCGGCTCTTCGGCCTCCTAATGCAAAACAGGCCAGGGTGCAGGCTGCCCTGCTCGGTTCTCACAAACCAATCAGCAGTGTACAAAGGGACAGATCCCACAGATCTAACCTGCTCCACCTGTGCTTCCTCTGTCACATTCATTCCCAGTAAATTGTTCAAATCAAATATGTGCTCCCTTTAATAGTGATTTATGTCAAACCGAGGCCACAGAGGGCAATGCTTCCTGCAGAAACACTCAGACGATAAGGGGATCTACAATTTTCTATCTGGCTTCTAGATTTTTTGGCATATCCTCGAGGCCTCTCGTGCACTTTAACCAAAGACCAAGAACGTGTCACGTGTATTTTATGAATCTGCAGCTGACTTTACTCTGGAATTCTCACCGTGATAAGATGGTTTTCTGCTGCAACGCATGCCAAAAACGTTTTCCTGCCCGGAGCGTTATCTGCTGCAGTTTTCCAATTGTTTGTTAACAGCCAACGTGTCTCACTGTGGGCTTGAATTGTGCCTGCGCAGGGAATTCAAATTGCTTACACACCATTCCAAATAAAACTCACGGCGTGCCTGCATTTCCACAAACGCGATAATTTAACAAGTCATAAAACAAGCCTTTGTTGCCGTCACCATGGCAATGAAAAGAATAAGTACTAAATAATGTATGCTGACACAAAAGCTTTTGTTTCTGCTTCTTTCCACTCCACGCAGAGCGCTGTCTCATACTCCCGCATCATTACACATCAACCAGACCCAGCACTGTAAGCAACTGCCCGGCATGGTGTCCTCCCAAGCTCAGCTGTGTCGCAGCAACCTGGAACTCATGCAGACCATCATCCAAGCTGCTCGAGAAGTCAAGAAGACGTGTCAGAAGACTTTCGCCGACATGCGCTGGAACTGCTCCTCCATTGACATACCCATCGATGCCCCGAAGTACCGACCAGACCTCGACCGAGGTACGCTTTATAAACCGAACAGAAGAACGGGGCAGAAGGGGCTGTTGCCTTTAAAAACATGCTCCTCGTGTTTTATGCCCACGATTCTATATAGTTTGATACAGAGAGCCAAATCACAACAACAGTTGCCTCAAGCTGCTCTATGTTATAAGGTAAAGACCCCACGATAATACAGAGAAACCCCAACAATCAGGCCGTGCCGTATGAACAAGCACTTGGCGACAGTGGGAAGGAAAAACTCCCTTTTTAACAGGAGGAAGCGTCCGGGCTCGGGGGAGGCATACACATGTCTGCTGCATATGTGGTTCCTGTCTAAAAAATAACCCTGAAACAGATTTTGGCCTTTTGTAAACAATTTCTAGTTTAAAGACTTTCTTTTCCTGCCAGCATGTGTTCCTGCAGAGCTGTACGTTCAGCGATATATAAATTATGTCGCTATTTCTGAAATCTCCTAAAAAAAAAATTCATCCTGCACTATTGCTTACAGTGTGACTTTGCTGTTTTATTTTGCTAAAAGTATTTTTGAACCAGCAACAGGTGTGGATGGGATTGGATGGGGCGAGAGGGGTAGCCATGGCTGCCATTTGCCAAATGAACAGGAAATGGCTCATCTCTGTCTTTGATCTAACAGCCCACGCTCATACGTGATTTCTTCCCCTTATTTGCAATTGCCCCCCATCCTATAGCATGTGTGCTTCCCATGTGCGCACATCACCACCAATTACATCAGCGCTCACTCTGTGTTAGAGCATGACCACCGATGTTTGAGACAGAGAGAGATAGAGAGCTTGAACACAGACTGTAGAGAAGGTGGCCATGCAGAAGAAACTTGATGAGTCTTTTTCTTTTGTCTTGTTTAAAAGAATCATTTTACATATATAATCTTGCAACGATTATACGGAAAATTTGAGCGTTATATGTCTGTGTAAATAGACTTTAAGGTACTTTTTCTTGTGAGGTCCCACATAATGAGAGAAGACTCCACATTTTCATTGGCTATGCGCAAAAGAAAATCACAAGTCACCACAAAGTCAGAATGTATGCAGATTTCTGCATAAATGCGATGGCCACTACCACAGAGAAAATTAAATCCAGCTACAACAAAAACTACTGAGATGAGGGGAAGTGGGTGGAAGGCGATTCTCTGGTTTTATTTATTACTTTTTTCAGTTATTTTGAATTTCACAGAAGGATAGCACGACACAGTACATGTGAAGCTCACATTATCACGAAGATATATCGAAATTTCAGACTCACCCTTAGATTTGGTGACACATTGCTCTACATAAGTATACTCTGCGCTCCACATTTAGTTTGTTGGGATATGGTGAGGAAGGAGCAGCTATCTCGGAGTTATTTACAAGAGATGGCAAAAAATAGGACAAGAAGAAAACTGCAAAACACAGAGAGAAAAGTTAACAAGCGGTAAAGGCTTATAAACTCGTGGGAATCCCACCAGCAGCCTGAGCTTTATAGCAGAATAACAAAATAATGGGTCAGGGTCACCTGACCCAGTATGTCCTATTAGCTTTACTAAAAGGAAAGCCTGAAGCACAGGCCTAAAACCTCGTGGTTACTTCTTTGATTATAGTATCGCTAAGTTTTATTACTTTCATTTTTCTTGTTTGTAAACTCTTGGAGAAGAAGAAGCTGTCCGATGACATCGCACTAGTCTTTAGCCTGGTGACGATGATAGGGAGTGTAATCACTGGTTTCATACTAACAAGGGTTACTGATTTCCAAACACTTGATTTGAGAGCAAAAGTTGTCTTTTGAACTGCTTTGAATGTCAGCTCTGCTATTTTACGTGGCATGTTTTGCTTTTTCACCTTTGCTGTTTCTGTTTCCATCAGGAACAAGGGAGGCTGCGTTCGTCTACGCCCTGTCTGCGGCTACCATCAGCCACACCATAGCGCGGGCATGCACCACTGGAGATCTGCGGCTTTGCTCGTGTGGTCCCGTCCCGGCTGAGATTCCAGAGCCCGGCTATCGCTGGGGCGGCTGTGGTGACAACCTGCACTACGGTTTGATTATGGGCTCCAAATTCTCTGATGCTCCCATGAAGATGAAGCGCTCAAGCTCTCACGCCAACAAACTGATGCACCTACACAACAGTGAAGTTGGCAGACAGGTACATAGTAGAAGAGTGAAAAAAATGCAGACTCGTTTCCATATTTGCCTGTCCTGTATGTCGTGGGTTAACTTCCTCCATCTTCATGTCTAGGTACTGAGAGAGTCAGTAGTGATGAAGTGTAAGTGCCACGGTGTGTCTGGATCCTGCTCTATAAGGACCTGCTGGAAAGGACTGCAAGACCTTAGGGATATCGCCATGGACCTTAAGACCAAGTACCTGTCTGCCACCAAAGTGGTTCACCGGCCCATGGGGACACGTAAGCAGCTGGTGCCCAAAGACATTGACATCAGGCCGGTGAGGGACAATGAGCTCGTCTACCTGCAGAGCTCTCCGGACTTCTGCTCCAGGAATGAAAAACAGGGCTCTGTTGGAACGCAGGGCAGGTAAGACAGCCACGATGCACCAGTTTGTGCGTACGTGTGTGTGTGTGTGTGGTTATTATAGCTCTCTGAGCATGAGTCAAATGAACACCACAGCTATGTAGCTGACAAAGAGGAAATGATCAGCTCTGAATGTCCGCTCATCCAGGATGTTGACTCAAGTGCTGTCCTGCTTGGTGGCAGTGTTTGATTTACAGGCTGGCTGATAACAAGTGCCTGCCCCTGAGAGAGCCTCGTCTGTGGTGTGTCTGAGCATGTGCCACTGAAAGGCCCACTGTGACTGGAGTCCTTGTCCCGCTATCTGAAATGAATACGAATGTGGTTATTCTTAGGGCCGAGGGCACTATAGCTGATATTGATTTGAGAGGGCCACACAAACAGGGAAATCTTTCATTGCGCCACACAGATAAAGATTTACTTTGACTGCTCACCTTCAGTATTTGACAGGGGAGGGTGCTCCTTTGTTAGAAGTTAAAGGGAGAGGTTGGGCTAAGAGATGCCAGAATAATAAGACACACATAAGTTTATTTAATTTCTCTAGTGTATGTTGCTGGAGACCGTTCAGGTCCATTATTTCTTTGTGAATTACAGTACAGGAGGATAAAGTTCCTGCTGTAAAGCCCTGATCTTACACAGATTCACTTCAAGTCCTTTCAGAAGTATCGTTTAAACTAAACTGATAAAAGAACAATGACCATTGAATGCTTATAAAAACCTCTCAAAGAGACTTTTTTTGTTTTAAGGTTTTAAAATGTTTGTTGTTGCACAATTCTCCAGCAGATTTCAGGGTTTCAGGAGTGCCATGCCTCTCTTTTATGGTATGTGAGACGAGATGCGCACTGGTTTACAGGAACACATGTAGTTTTGTGGACTGGAATACTTCCATTATACCAGAATACAATCCTGGCTGTATGAGCTATGGAGGATATAAATATATAAATAAGACCACCAGACATGTGTGCACATATAGCATGTGACTAGCAAATCATGCGTCCTTCAGCCTGATGTCACTGTACAGATAAACATGGACATGCTTCATGTCAAGGACACTCACTGTGCTCGCTGCATCCTTTTGGCAGGCTGATAACTGCAGCAGCCTCACAGTCTGCAGCATTAGCGCTCCTGCAAAGTCACCAGACAGCTGTTTTGCTGTTGTTATTATTTTAAGTGTTGATCTGATGCTAACTGTTAAGCGTTCCTGTGTGCCTATTAATCATTTCTGTTAGTATGTAGGCAGATTTTTCCTGCTTCCCGGCTTCATAGTCGAGGAGCTGTTTTGTTCTTTATCGTTTTAGCTGCTTGACTTTAAGCGTTTTTGTGCTTGAGTCCTCATGGCTGCTCTGTGGTCAGGTATATATAATGAAAGAGCATTTAAAGGCACTTTTCTAGTCTTTGTGACCCTCAACATGATTTGCACTACAAGCCACATTTACTTGCATTCTTTATTTTATAGACTTTACTTACATCTAGGGCCAATTTCGAGTCACCTGACATGCATGTCTTTGGACTAAAGCAGCAGCAACGGTTTGCCAGTTTTTCTCTGAGACAATCTGGGACAGGCAAAGTTAATGTGAGCCGCACTCTGTAAAATAATGGATAAAGCGTGATCACCGGTGCAAAAGAGAGTCACGTCCCCAGAAAGAGGCTGGGCTTTTGTCTCAGATGACTTTAAACCAGCAGATGTGAAACCACAGAAGATACTTCTGACAAAACATAACTGTCCGGGGTGGCAGCTCCCACCGATGTCATAAACCTGTCTTGCATTCTCAATGACTCTTGTCCCTCTTCCTCCCCTTCTTTCACTCGCAGCGCAGCAGCCATTAGCTCGGTAGCTCTCTCACCCTGCTGGTCATTAACACTTTGCCATCATAAAACAAAGCAATAATGTGAAGAGGGCCAGATAAAGAGAGGGAGGGCAGGCCTGTGTACTCGGTGTGATTTATGGCGGGGCTATTCTCTGCTCATTCTAAAAGATGCCCCGGGCTTCTAAACGAGAGGCTCCAGAGCATCCACCGGCCAAAGACAAGGAAACAAAAAGAAAAAAATGGAAGAAAAAAATGTTTGGCAGAAGGAGAGCGCAAAGGTTAAAGCGCAGAGTTCGGTCAAACCATTTTAAAGGACTATTGTTGACTCTCGACAGGCTGCGAGATTGTGCAAAACGTTTTAGAATGGAGCTGTTAGCTTAATTGTCTCGGGCAGGAACTGGAAATATTTTAGCTTTCACGGCTGATTGCTCGCTCCAAAATGCGCCTCCTTTGTCCTTGCCTCGGCTACAGAAATCAGCTATTGCAACGGAAAATTAAAGTCACAGTCTAACTGCATGTTTTTCATGTCTGTCAGGCAGTGCAACAAAACCTCGTCAGGCAGTGACAGCTGTGACCTGATGTGCTGCGGCCGTGGCTACAACGCGTACACAGAGAAGCTGGTGGAGCGTTGCCACTGCAAGTATCACTGGTGCTGCTACGTAACCTGCAAGATGTGCGAGCGCAACGTGGAGAGATACGTCTGCAAATGAGTCCACCAACCTGCCGGCCCGACCAGCAGCCAGCCGGCCGAGGCTTCCGATTAACCAAAGCACTAAAAATACAGAGAAGGCTTACTTCTGTCTTAAGCTTTAGCACGCGTCTCTCAGTGAGAAGCGGTCCCTTCTTGTGTCAGTGTCATTTTTGTTTCCCACCAAAATCCCCGAACTACCAACTGGGCTTCTGAGCTTTTGCGCTTCACAAACCTGGAGTGTGGAGACAGTGCCAGTCAGTTCATGCGAAGACCGCCGTCCTCCTGGGTAATTTCTTTCTCTTATTAATGATTATAAATCCCCCAAACAGGGCTACTGGGTCTGAGTCTATTTCATTCTATCTCTAATAAAAAGAAACAATATTGGATTCGATGCTGGAGGAGAGAACGTCGCCTTCTCTCCCGACTAGACAAAGGCTTACGTTTGGCTTTAATCCACAGAAGTCGAAGGGTTCCCGTGGATCCATCCTTTTTTAGGTACTTTTCCAACTTGTTTCCTCTTCAGCAATGGACTACAGAGGAAGAAAAGCAACATAAAGGGAACTTGAGCATTTTTCATTCACGGAACCTATCTGCAGTTGATGTTTTGGACTCACGGCATGTATCCCGTGTGGATCGTGACATGGATGCATCCCTGTGGATTGAGAGGACTTTCTGAAATGGTGCATTATCTCATTTTTGTCTGACATGCAGGCAATTCAAAATATATTCTATTTTTCAGAGCATATGAGCTGAACTCATGGATTTTTGTAAACCACTTTTGTGTGGATGTACATACTGTTATTTTGTATACTGAAATAAAGAAAGAAGTATTTATAAAATAATTAAATGATCTTCACTATCATCTTTACTTGGATACTGTATTTGTTTTCTCAAGACTCATTAGATAGAGTAATTAGTTTTACGCTGAGCAAATTTAGGTGTAGCTCACTTCAACTCCAAAAGGTCATAAATGCCAGTTAACCACAAATCATATTGTGCAGTGATTGTAAATCAGCTCAGCTCAGTCAGTAATGAGTTGCAGAGTTCAACAGCCTATTGGGATCCCTCTCTGAATTACCCAAACCCTGGGAAACTGTTTGTTTGGACATTCCACCTCCTCACAAAGGCCATTGCAAAAGGATTTTTGTCACTCCTACCACAGCTTCAGCAGTCAAACACTCATCTGTCTGAGGCCCAGACCTCCAACGCGCAAACATGGCGTCTTTAAAAAAAGACTAATCTAATTCAGTTTGAACATATAGGCAGCCTGCCGCCCTGTTAGAGGGAACAGACTCAGTGCTGTGCAGGGACATTACCCTCTGACCAGCCTTGTGTTGGATAAAGCGGTTCTCATGATTTTACACTGACAGAAATAGCCGTGGACGACGTCGAGTCCACGCTGGGCGCTCACATGATAGGCCGCAGCGCCGAGCAGCGCACTCACTCAAGCTGTAACACTACTTGACCCTAGCCTGTGGATACACAGAGAAACTGCCAAAACAGCCCTGCATACTCTGGAAAAGTGAGGCTGAAGGGAATGTTATCAGCAGTCATTTAGATTTTGGTGGTTCTTTTATGACGCTGGACTCCTTTCAGAGCTGTCCTCTTAATTTAGCTTCATTTTTGGCAGGTTAAGAAGAGTTGATTAGCCACTTCTATTTCAGGCAATGAGGAGAAATGTGACTCTGGATTGAAAGCCAAGAGCCCTGAAGACACAAACCTCTTTAGTGTTTCAGCAGAGAACCAAAGATGACGCATGTTGACAGTGTGACTCAAGGTAGTGACTGAACAACAAACTCCTAAGAAGTCTCACACATACAAACATTTGATCAGAGGTTGCTGTTCTGCAGGAACAGTCTAAAGTTGGTGACCGGCGGTGGTACTGCAAACTTCTGGTTGGGGGCAGGGAAGATGCGCTATGCTCAGGTGAGCGGGGGTCTGCTCTATCTGCACACAACAGCCCCAAGGACCCTTCAGTCAATGGCATTCCTCAGCCTGGCATTTAGAGAGAATAGGTTGCGAGCCCACCCACCGCCATCTGTCACCGAGTTCAACGCTGCAGAAATGTGAAGCCTCACCTGCCGAGTGAAGCTTCCACAGAGGACGAGACATTCCTGCAGAGGATGCAACCCGAGTATTTGAATGCATTTTAAAAAAGGTCATGTTTAACAGTTTTGTAAAAGTGACTTTAATGTTTATGTGAAGTTGAGAAATTCTCCTAAAACACATAGTTATGAAATACTGACGTAAGAGTATGTGCACCACACGTCTAAAGATTAGATAGGCCTTTACTCTGACCTGCTTTAGTGTGCAAAGGCTGGAGCTAGCAGCCAACTGACCCCGTGAACAACCATTGTTATCGTTAAGCCGTGCAACTATTCGGCTGACCTTTCGCTAACCCTATGGAAGTATCTCACTTAGACACATGCTAAAAAATTTCATGTTGCCTCAGTGTGTCGCGGCAATTGTGAGCCCGTGGTTATCAGTTATGATTCAGTTGTTTCATCCGTTTGCATAAAGATGTGGCGGAGCAGAAGAGTGAGCGTGTGAGTAAACTGGACGTGAATGGGCTGCTTGTTCTGGCCCACCTTCATCCGGCCCGTTAAGCACTTTTGTGTCCGAAACGATGCCAAAGATAAAACGGAACTAATCGCTGCTGCAGTTTATGTTTCTTTTCTTTTCTTTCTTTCTGTTGTTGTCAGAGTATCTAAGTATCTCTCCACGGTTGGTCTGACCTCTCGCTCTGTGGAAATTGCCTGGTAATAGAGAAGGAAAAGGGGACTCTAACAGAGAGCAGTGGAAATATCAGGGGTTAATGTCAGTCCGGACAATATAATGCCAATTGGCTTTTGTGCAGCCTGCAGTCCAGATAACTAGCTGTGAATGGGGGGAAACAAAGAATTTGGCTGGAGTGGTAAAGGCTTTGAGATGTACTGACCCGTACTGTAAATGGACTTTTGAGGACCCCACCCCCACCCTCAGCCTCCAGCCTTTAAAAGGAACCCAGCAGTTTGTGCTGTTAAAGGCCATTTGTGTGTGTGTGTGTGTGTGTGTGTGTGTGTGTGTGTGTGTGTGTGTGTCCTCAGGCATGTTGCTGGGAGATAGCAGATCATGCAAAGCAAGCGCCTTTCTAGATAACAACAACCCAGTTACTCCCATATGGAAAAGATGTGTATATAAAGTTTGTATCTGTCTTGTGTGAAACTTGTATGAAAAACATACAAGAGTAAGAACAGATCTAAGATCCTTGAAAAATTATATAAATGAAAGTTGTATGTTTTGGATACTCCTTAAAACAATATATGAAAGTAATGAGAAAGTGGCCACTTTCATGAGTGAATCATATTAAGCCTTACATGATTCACTATATGAAGGAGGCCACATCTGATGCAAGTCTGTTATAAGTTTTTTCTATTTCTTTTCCATATGAGTAGCTGAGAAACAGACAGTGACAGTGGCAGGAAGTCACAGAAGAACATTACGTGAATGCAAGTGAAGATTTTGGATTCCACTGCAGAAATAATACTAATAATAAAAAATATAATATGTTTTTATTCCTGTATTATTGAGCTGTTTAAAGGTCATTTAAAGGTCTGTTTATAGGCTTTTTAAAGGTTCATGTGCTAATTGGCTTAGGTTTTCTTTTCTGTGTATAGTGTGGATATTATAGGTTATTATTGGTAGAAAAAACAACCCCTTCCCTTTGAGTTTTAGAAAAAAAAAAGTGTTTAAGCGTCATCTGAGCAGCAAAACGGGGCCCAAGATAAAAACTGCTTTTCCGAGTATCTTGGCCAACATATGTGTTTAATCAAAACACACATATATACCATGAAATAGTATATAAGAAACGTAGAGTGAACAAAATAAATAAAATCAGTTATTTATTTTCATTTATTTTGGTTCATCTCCTAGTTTAACTAGGAGACGTTTTATTTGTGTTTTATTTGTGTAACTTTATAATATCAGTTCTCTCTTGTAACTTTATTTCTTTTAACTCTTTGGATTTATTCAGAAAGAAGCCGGGCTCCAGCGCATATTATTTTCCTGTTATGAATCACAGTGCGTCACACTGAGCCTATGATTTAACACACAAACATAGTAAACGAGTAATCTCCAAGAGCCTGGCACATTATGTCAAAGAACTTTTACTTTACTATAAAGTAAAAAACCGTCCGCAAGAGTAGAACCACACTACCAAAGCTAAACGGCATGTTGTTCATTTAACTACAAATTTCCTGTAATATTCAGACTAAACAGGATTTTAAAACCCTGAAACAGATAAACTATAAACTTTCATAATCTCAACATAAAGATAATGAATCAGCTCTGATCTGGATGGCAGAGCTTCAGTAAAAGCTACCAGAGACAGGACGGACGATGGGAGCCGTGGAGAGGGAACGAGCGAGAGTGAATTAATATGAATAAAAGAAACAGCCGGCTACGTATGCTGGGAAAAGTAAACACTGGTCCGTGTAATCACGGTAAATCTGTCTGGGGGGCCAACGGAGCAGGCTGTGCCCTCGGTCGAGGAGTCAACAAACCCCGAGAAAGAAACAGCTAACATTACTGAGAGGGGTTAAAGAGGAGAGCGTTGCAGCTTTATTCACATGAAGATCAGTGAAACACCGCCGTGTTTACCCAGTGTCTGGCTGAGTTAAACTATGTAAACTCTCGGCATATGATTCATGGAAAGAATTCAGGATCACAAATGTAAAGACGACTTTAATGGCACTTTCTGAGGTGTGTTTTGCACGATAAGTGTGCGCCCTGTGAGGCCGGCTGTATGTGGACAGTATGGTTGAGGATATTTTAGCCAGCGGCCGACATAAAACCTCCCACCGTTTGAGGCCAGATTGAAAGAACTAATGAAAGACATTCACCTAGCCAGCAGCGCCGAGATCAGCTGCCTGGCACAC